GAGAGAGAGAGAGAGAGAGAGAGAGAGAGAGAGAGAGAGAGAGAGAGAGAGAGAGAGAGAGAGAGAGAGAGAGAGAGAGAGAGAGAAAGGGAAAGTGAGATAAAGAACGGAAGTTTGATGGAATACTCACCACCGATACTCAGGGTTCTCCATCGGGTCTTCCGCTTGGAACCCTTCTTGCCCATTTCTCGCGGTCGCCCGCACCACCACTACCACCACCACCACTACTACCGCCGCCGCCGCCGCCGCCTCCTCCTCCTCCTCCTCCTCCTCCTCTGTCGCTCTGCGCCTCGTCCTGTGCCGCAATGATCTTCCTCGGTCGATCGTTCGTTTCACCTTCGCCTTCGTCTTCCGTTTTAGGACGTTAACGACCCTCGACGAGCCGCGATCGTCATCGCGCGATTCTCACGGACACTCTCGGTTCGCGCACTACCTCGTCGGTAGAATCGCGAGCTCACCGGATCGCCGTCGCTCGTTCGTCAATCGGGGGATGGGAGGGAGGAAGGGAGAGAGGGGGAAAAGCGAGGGTTAAAAAGGCTCGCGGTCCTCCCGTGCTCGGCTCGGGATGTGCCTCGCTGGCACGTTTGTTCGTTTGTTCGTTCGTTCGATTCGTCCGTCGCGTTGCTATTGCTAACGGGCGAAGTGATCTCTCTCTCACGAAAAAGACAAGTCCCTCGTTACGCGACGAACAATTCCAATATGCAATCCACGCCGCTTGAACGGCGACCGCACACTGCGGACCCCACCTCACCCCTCCCGATGATAATCCACCACCCACCTCGCTCCGTTCTCCCACCTATCCGCGCTCTCTCGCTTGCGCTCTCTTACCCCTCTCTCTCTCTCTCTCGCTCTTATCGGCTCTTACCCCCTCCCCCGCGCGATCGTCACTGTATAGATAGGCTGCTTCTTCTGCCCTCGAAACGATCGAGAGAGCGAAACGACCGCGCGTTTGCTACAAGGAAAGAGAGGAAAGAGAGCAGACAAGTGCTGAAAGTGCAGATGCGTCTTCAGTAACCTGTACGCGCCGTCGCAATGCCGGTGACTCTTCAATTCGCGCGGTTCCTCGGAATTTCCGAACAAGTGTGGATCGCTGTATGAATCGCCAGTCACACCGTGCGATTTTGCGTGCAGAACGTTACGCAAATCGAATTAGGAAAATTTGGAAAAATGCCGAAAAACGTACCGCACTCTAGCACGTCAGCCGAGGATTCGAACTGTTTTCTTCAGCGCGCGGCGCGCACGCGCTCCCGATGACTCGCGTTCTGATTGGTCATTGCCGTGGCAACCGATGTAAACATTGCGCGCCATTTTTCCCGGCAGCTGTGATCTGTGATAGGAAGCACATCCGCTCTGCAGATTCGCGATGAGGGAGATCTTCCTCTCCCGCCGTCATCATCGTCGTCGCGTTTCGTGTCTCGGATTTGCTTGATCGAAACGTCACATTTCACTCACGGTGTACAAAAGACACGAATTTAGAAATTCCCACTCAGGTTTTAGCCGAATTAAAAACTTTGCGTTCAAAAGCAAGTTCAAAGTTGGCACGGTCCAAACACGTGCGTTTCTTTCGAAAAAAAAACGAACAATCCGAAATGATAATTTAATGCGTCATTCCAACGCCATTTGTGTAACGATCTTAGATTTGTCTTTCTCCTTTAGCGCCTGTTTCGTGTGGAAGTAGACGTATAGGTTAGGTCGTGACAGCAACTGACAGAAAAAAATGCTCAAGATACTGTCACTTCATGACTTCGAGGGTCCCGCTTTTGGCGACACTGCCGCCGTGGGTTTAATCGAGGGCATCGTTCATTACTGCGCTTATGATTTGCTGCAGGATGAGATACAGCCCTTTGCCAAGTACCTACGTGGATATCCCGAGGTTTCTGTCACGCAGGAGATCCTGGCTACTCGCGAATCTGCACGTGCAATTAGTGCCGGGGAGTTGTTTCTTCCAGTTCACGACAGCGTCTTCAAAAAGGTCGCCAACATATGGAGGGAGAGAGGATTATCTGAAGCGATTCGCTTTGCTGCAGCTGCAGACCCAAATCAGATCACCAATGTTGTCCACTGGGTAGCAACAAGGTATAATCTTTTTATTTTGTATTTTCGTTGCATATTTCTTATGGATTTAACTCATATATTCCTGTTGCATTTTTATGGAAATTATATAATGATTTCAGATTGAATTGGATGTTGGATTTAATGGAAAGAGGAATATATCACAGAGACGTGTTGCCGATGTCAGGAAATGGATCTGTTGCTGATATTGTCGCTACGCGAGAGTGGAATATATCATTGGTATGAGTATTTAATTAATCATGATTATTTAATATTCTGAAAAGATAAACAAATGTTCAAAAAACTTATGAACACATTTACGACAGGTGAGGTGTTTGTCCTGGCATCCACATTGCGCTCGCCTGGCTGTGGCTATGAGAGATGATCGAATTCGTATTTTTTCACAAGGCCTATTAGGTGTTCCAGTACTGAGACATAGCGCACAAAAATCAGTTTCCTGTTTAAATTGGAGACCACACGCTGGTCGTGAATTAGCAGTTGCATGTTACTCTGGAGTATTAATATGGACAATAGAATTAGGAGCAGCCAGTAATTTACTTAGTCATGCGATACTTTTGAAACGAAGAAATCACGTACCCGTTACAAGCGTCATATGGCATCCACAGGTAACCAATCACTTAATTTTTGTCAATATTTGTTAAACATAATATGGCTCATAGTCTACTAGTATAAATTGTTTTTTAAAGGGTGATTTGTTGGCATCTTGTTCACCAACGGATTTAAATATAATAATCTGGGATGTTTCTAAAGAGGATGGAGTTCCTCTGAAACGTGTCGGTGGAGGTGGCGTATGTTTTATACGTTGGTCATCTTGTGGTTTACGATTATTCTCTGCTTCATGTAGAAACATTTTCAGGTAATATGTTTATTTAAATTTATATCTATTCACATATCTTCTTTGAAAAACTTGTTTATAAACTGAAATAATTGAATATACGGTTAAAGAGATTTATACTTCATTTTAGAGTTTGGAATACGGATGTTTCGACACCATGGCACGCGGAAAGGTGGACTGTACCTCAAGGTCGTGTAGCAACTGCATGCTTTGGTCCTAACTTGACATTACTTTTTGCTACTACCGGCGATCCTGCGACAATATTTTCACTGCCATTGCAAGATAATATATTTGAAAAAACAACCACTAACGATGTAAAGATAGCTATGCGTCTAATCGATTTAACAAAAGTAAATTTTTCATCGGATGATGACGATGATTACATCACAGTGGGAGGTAGAATAGTTTCTATGGAATGGGATCCAACGGGGAAATATCTTGCTATTCTTTTCCAAGTATGTTAAAAAAAAATTAATCTTTTGAGAAGAAAATATAAATCATGGAGTACTTTGTGCTAATGTTATTTGTTTCTTTTGAATAACAGGATAGTCCAGTTATTGCTCTGATTAAAACAAACCTAAATAATTTATCACGGATAGTGGAAGCGCAGCCAAGTTGCCTCATCAAAGGATTTCCTGGAGAAGTACCAAATTGTATTGACTTCTACCAGAAACGTTCATCGTGGGTCTGTTTAACAATAGCTTGGAGCAGTGGACGCGTGCAGCATTTCCCGATTGTAGAAAATGAATCTAAAGTTGATACTACCACGTATTCCACGCCGTTACCTCAAGTGAGAACAAGTAGATTGTACAGTTTTGATTATAAGCAATATTAATAATAATAAGTTGTTATTGTAATAACGAGAAAATAACGATAGGGCAATTTTGTATAATTTTTCTATCTCCATTTGTAAATGATAGCATAGTAATTGAAGAAAGATTTAATAAATTCATTTGCAAGAGAATCTCCTGTTAATAATTAAACATATAAGCGATATCAAAACTCTGGTATACGAATGCATAGACAAAAGCTTATGTAATTCTCGTTTGAGAGAAGTTTATATATCCGTTTTATAGTCTTCGAGGAAAAACGGAAAAAAAACAAATGTGTGCCTCGTCGTTAGACTCTCTAATGGACTGTGCTTGTAACGTAGAAGTATAGGATACGACGCGTTCTGTTCGGTGCCTAATTATACAAAGTCACATGCAGAGCGCGCGTCTCTCTATTTTTACGTCGCTTGACCGAACGCTAAACGATTTGCCGGCGCGTTACGTACGTTCGCGTCTATGTACATATGTGACGCGGCCAACGCTATTTTCACTACTCTGCGTATGTGAATACGAATGATTGAGTGCATACGCACGTTTCAAATATCATTGAATGGTGATTGATTTGATTCAAATGGTGATTTTTCGCTCGCACTTTTTCTTTTTACAAAAAAAAAAATTAAGGAAACTAACTATACGAAAGGAAAAATAATTAATATCGTTGACATCGAAAAAATATGGATTAAATTGTGCATTTTCATGCACCAAAGTCATTTGTTCGTATCAGATACTCGAGATTACGCGCGCGGGGCGGTCGTCGGTCGGTTTTTATACGGGGCGCGATTAACCGCGCACGAAATGATTTTTCTTCTTCTTCTTTTTTCTATACGCTTCGCTGTTATTGCATCCGTATGGGGGAATGAGAACATGATCGGTGTCCTTTTTATTGGTATATTTATTTTGAGGGCGGTCTCTCTCTCTCTCTCTCCCTCTTTTTCTCGGGGCCGCGTACGCACATGCGGTTGACTATGGTGCGAGCGAAGCTGACAGGTGCCCGGGCAAAAAAAGCCAGGACCGCTCGCGGTCGTAGCGTGCATGTAATGTAAGCACAGAGGGCTGGCAGACCACATGTGCCGCTCTATCACTTATCTACCCATAATATGACATACAATCGCTCAGAAAGATGCACCAGGACGTGCATGTACTTGCGTGGCCGGCGATGCGTCTCGCGCGCGCGCGCGCGTAATTTTCCGCGCGAGGGAGAAGCGCCGAGATGAGTCGGAGTCGCACCCACGTGTTACATATACGGAAAAGAAAAGAAAAGATACACACTGAAGAGGAGTGTGAAATTTATCGAAAAAAAAAAATATATATATATATAAAACAAAAATACCCCATCTACGACGGTTATAGCAAAACAGAATTTCTCCTTAGGACTTGGCACTTAGCTCGAGTGTCTTTAACGAGTTTAAAACTGCCGAGAAGTTAACAGTAAATGCGAAATTTTTCTTGCGCGGGGCACAACTCTTTTTCTTAAGGATCGTTATGCGAAAAGAAAGAAATCTTCGAAGAGATCGGCATGGAACGATCCGTGGATGGAAGAATCGCGGCGAGGTGAAAAGATATATGCGAGCGACGGTAGCCTGTAAAATAGGAGAACGAGAAGTGAACGACTTGTCCTCATGTGGCGTGTCTGTGGAAGCATGTTGTTAATAAGTGACGCGTGTGTGGCAGCTGGTCTTACATTTTTTTGCCCCGCACCCGATTCTTAGGGGCTCGACCGACGAAAGATCGTCCCGAGCGCGCTCTCCCTCTTTCACTCTTTCCCTCCTTCCCCTTTTGATCGTTGCATCCTCCATCCCTTCTTCTGCCGTTTTAAATATTCCTTTGAATGAAATTCCAAAAATTAATGTCGCTGTCAAAACTACTTTTTGATTAATTTTATATATCATATATATATTATTAGTATATATATATATATATATATATATATATACATTTGCTTATTGTAATATGCGATTTTCTGTGCGTCTTGATTTTTCCGATATATCTTTTGTATCGCGCGATAAGGATCCAGATGCGAATTACGGATTGTCCAAAGTAGATCCTAAGCGTCGCGGAGACGAAAAATCATGAATGGTTTCCTGAGCGAAAAAATCCTTAGCGAGGTCGCCGAACGCGTGTATTTACGCGCCTCGGCAGATGTTCGAACCCGCTACCCCCGGGGGCCTCCACGAAGAAAGCTACGTACTCTCGCGACAAGTGCAACAGCGGTCGTATACCACAGGAGGGAGGGAGGGAAGGAGAGGGAGACTCGACTATGCAACGAGATGCAGCCACGCGAGTGGGCGGTGCGACGGTCCCTTCTCGCACCCTTCCGTCCTCCGCTTTCCAAGAAGAGGAGCATGGTGCCAAAGGGCTACGTTCTCCCTCGCTGAAGGAGAAGAAGGAGGAGGAGGAGGAGGAGGAGGAGGAGGAGGAGGAGAAAGAGGGTAGGAGATCCCTTGGTCCTCTCTCGAGAAACTCCTCCGACGGAGGAGAGAATCATCTCTCGCAGCTGATAGTCGTGGACGAGACGCGTTAACGGATGGTGCGAAAGTGTCGAGCCCCCCGAGCTCCCATCATTTTCATATCAGTCCCGCGAGAAGAAACCGGTGTTGTTTCTCGTCCGCGATTCTCTCGCGATTGTTATCGCGCGCGTGCCATCGAGAAAGATAGATAGAGGGGGAGAGGACTCTCGAGAGCGGAAAAGACCGGCGCGATAAGCGGCTCGCCGATCGACGTGTACATGTTGATACGTTGATATCGAAGTAAGCCGCTTCTCTGACGTTGTTTCTCCAATTTTACATTATCTCTGACTCCCGGAGGAAAGCGAGGCACAATCGGACCTGTCCCTCTGTCGTCGGCGGCGACGATAGTTTCACGGGGGAGATGCGCGGAACTAAACGGCGGCCGCCGAACTAAACGACCACCCGCGAAATATCCGGTGACGACTCCGAAAAGTTACATCGTAGGTTACATCGTTGTGCTCCTCGTGTACGATCGTGCCTCTTTTTTCCTCTGGTGGACCACGCCGAATTCGGGAATGATTCGTCCCGAAAGAGAAAATTGATCTTCTAAAGATCGCGATCAAAGGCAGGAAAGAGACTCCTTCGTTTCGACTTAGTGCGACTTAGTGCTTTCCATGGCGATATTATAGACATTAGATGATCGTATTTTCGCGACATTCTTCCTCTAAAGCTGTGATATAACGTACAAACGTTGTACGTAAGTACTGCCTTGAAGTCTCACTCTTATGGGGGGGGGGGGAGGGGGGGTTCCACTTAAGAATTTAGCCCAAACAGAGTTTAACAGGGACTCTTCACGCAGAGGACTCAGGTCGTCCTTTTTTTCATTTCTTTTTATCTCTTTTTTTATTTCCCTGTGACGTTTCCTGTGCGTATGTTCCAGTTTAACTACTCTCTCTGTCACCTGATAGATCACACCTCGTGTACGTTTTTCTCGTTTGTAGATACCTTCATTTTTCACTAACTGGTAACACCAAATCACGCGGATCTATCGAGATTATGTAAACGCGCGCGATGATTGATCATCAAAAGCTATACAAAAAGCGGAAAGCGCGCCGAGCGAGCGTTCGCTTCGCAGAAGCCAAATCCACGGAGGAAGTCTCCTCCTCCGGGGGGGGACAAACCCCGAGATTAACGGGAAGGAATCTCGGCGCGGGAGGAATCGCTCTCGACGAATCGCGGCGATCGCGTCGCGAATTCGCTCGCGTATCCGTCTCAGCATTTCTCATCGTTACCCGCCGAGGCTGTGTCGCCGGAGGCTCTGCCGGGTTTCGTTATCTCGCATCTCTCCCGGCGCGATAATACGATCGGGCGCAAAGTGCACGGTGCTCTCGGATAAGCGCGCCGAGAAAGGCGCCTCGCTTTCGGCCCCGCTTTCTCAATCCGCGCGCGCGTCGCGCGACGTTACAAAATCCTCCCGGTGTTTCGCAATTCGATTCGGACGTGCCGCGACTAACGCACATATCGCTATGATTGACGGCAGGCTGCCGGCGGCGACGAGCTCGGATCGACGAGGACTACAACGACTACGACGACAACGACGACGACGACGACGACGGCGACGACGACGACGACCACGGAGGAAGACGAGGTGGAGAGGAGGGGAAGGAGATGCACCTCGAGGATTGTCACAGCGAGAGGAGCGGGGAGGACGACGTGCGACGTGCGACCGTGCCTGAGCTGGACCAAGACGACTTCGTCGACGACGGATCCCTGCCCGATCTGATGACCATGGCGATGGCGAGCATAGGCGTCGACGTCGCCCAGCCGCACTGCTGGGCGACCTCGCAAACGGAGGAAGACCTCTTCTCCCCGCTGGGAACCGGCGCGGACCCGCGGGAGTACCTCGACTGGGACCAGGTGCCCGTTGTCTTTCAGTATCCCCCTAATGGCGGCGGGTCGCCGGGTGATAGTACCTGCAGCGAGGCGACCACGCCGATCTGGAGCAACGCGGTAACAGCGACGACGACGACGACGACGACGACGACGACGACAAAGACGGATCACGGGGAGGATAATTCAGACTGCCAAAAGTTACCCTCGGTAGGATCGGCCTTCTCCTTCTCGCGCACCTTTTGCAACACGGTCTATCCGGACTACGGGACGGAGTCGCAGGGCGATTATCAGGATTATCAAAACTGCCAGGAGGACGTGGTGTCGTTGCTGATGAGCATCCAGAACGACATCGCGGCTCAGAATTACAGCGCCTCGATCGGTGACGAGTTCGATCTTAGTCTGATCAGGGGTGATCCGACATCGTTGCTGAGCACCGTGGATACGCCGTCGTCGATGACCTGTCTGTCGAATGACGACCAGCAGGAGCCATTCCAGACCTTCAATCCGCCGTATTACGCGGTTGGGCATCTCGTCTCCTCGCAGCAGCAACCGTCGGTGATCAATTTCGCCGGTGAGCTCGTGGGCACGACGGATGATCTCGGCAATCAGGTGATACTACCACGGAATGAGGGTCTGTTGCTCGGAAACATAAATCGACGTGTCACCGAGTCTAAGATCGCTGAAAACGAGAAGAGCGATAAGATCTACGGTAAGCATACGTCACAGCCTTCGCATTTGTTCTAGAGAAATCGAGCTTCGTCGTCAGAATCTCGTATTCGTATGTTCTATCAGACCGATAGAGAGAGACTTAAAATATCATTAAAATATATCTAGCTTGTTTCCCTCATTTTTGATATCTGGAAGCTCGGAACGTTCCAGATATCTCTAGTATCCGGGCGAAAATATAATTTGGTATCGGCATTTTTAAACGTCACTGGACATGCCGTACTGTCGTGTGCATGTGGAAATTTTCGTGCGCACGCAATTGCGTGTGTTTACGTCTCGTGTGCGTACGTCACATTGCAGATTGCGTGAGACCAGTGGACGATAGCCTCGCGTCGACTTATCAATGCCGCTGGATCGACTGCGGCTGTGCGTTCGCGGAACAGGAGGGCCTGGTGCGGCACATCGAGAGGCGGCACGTGGAGTCATCCTCGGGGAACGCGCACGGCCACGGCAGGCGGGTCCAACGGGACCGGGACAAGGAGCGAGATGGCAAGGAGGCGTCGGAGGGTTTCCCCCCCGGAGTCGCCTCGACGACGGCGACTACGACGGGCCGCGAGGACGAGTTTGCTTGCCTCTGGCAAGGATGTCCACGAGCGCGGCCCTTCAACGCGAGATACAAGTTGCTGATCCACATGCGCGTTCACACGCAAGAAAAGCCGAATAAATGCCCGGTAAGTGGTCCAGATTGTTTCGTTTGTTTCATTAATGTTTGTAAATTTTTTCAACGTTTTTTTTTTTTAGTATCATTTGGATTTCTTGGTATTTCTATTTTTCGTATAAGTCGTCAAGATTTTTTTCTTAAAAATCTTACCTGCCAGCGAAATGTATTAATTTTTTTTCTGTTGATTTTTTTGTTTCAGTTCGCTGGCTGTAAAAAGGCCTTTAGTCGCTTGGAAAATTTGAAGATTCATCAGAGATCTCACACAGGCGAAAGGCCTTATGCGTGTCAACACGATGGTTGCTCGAAGGCATTTAGCAACAGCAGTGATCGGGCTAAGCATCAGAGGACACATTACGACAGAGTACGATATTTTTTTTTCTCTCTTATGTATAATAAATAATGCATAAATGACAATTTCAATTTGTTATGTTATTCAGTTAATTATATCAATATAGATTATCATGACAAATGTATTATGGTTTATTTAAAAAAATTTAAGTTTATATAAATAATTTTGTATACAAATCTAATGACATTAACTCGTACAACACAAATGTTGCAGCAAGATCTGCGTTGTAAGAACGCTCATTTTTTTTTCTAGAAACCGTACGCTTGCCAAGTAAGCGGCTGCGGCAAACGATACACAGATCCCTCGAGTCTTAGAAAGCATCTGAAGAATCATACGGAGAACTCGAGTCCATTGTCCAATCTATTGTCGTCGGATAAAATATCAGCGACCAACGTGACGACCAACAGTGCAATAGGACATAAATTAAGTTCGACGATTCCTCACCAAGGAAGCCAAAACGACGCCTGCATCTTCGACGTGGAAACGAATCATCCGTCGTTCAAGCTTTCTAAAATTTATGTCAAAGAGGAGGATACATTGCCGAACAACACGTATCAGATGAATAGAATCTCCCTGAATTTCGAAAGCAATCAGCAGGAGTACGTGCCAATCGAATCGGTTCGTCATCTTCTGATCAACGACATCACTAAAATGCAAAATGAGAATACAGGTAATGAATACATTCAATCGATTCTCAGCGAGAATATAAATTTGCTATAAATTTCATCGAGTCTGCATGACTCATAAGATTCGATCGTTTTTTAAATTACAAACTTTCTTTCAAATTGTTCGATAGTATCTCGGTGTCGTAATCATTTCTAACACGATCTGCATCTCGTCGGCATTTCCGGTAGAGGAAAATCTGGTCGAAATACGATAAGAAACGCTTGGACTTATTTTCATTGCTTACATCAAAATTGTTTACATGCGCGCATCGAAGAAGATATAACGTGACCTTTAACTTTTACTAGCAATAGCATAAGATCTTGTTTTGCACTTAGTGAGTTCTCCGTTATAATTCTAACAAAAATAGCATTTGCGAAATAGATCGACGTATTATAGAAGTATCCAGATTAAAATAATTAAAGAGATAAATTTATTCGGAAAAACAAATTTTTTTATCTCGCGTTTAGCTCTTCTACATAATATTCTTTTGGAAGGAGAGACGCGGATAAAAAACACACGCACGTAGCATCCTCCGCAAATATATTTGGCGCGAGTAGGAGGTGCTGGTGCTTCCTCGATGCCCTTTTCAAGTGACGTGCAATTTCGATCGGAATGCGTTAAATGCGTTAAATGCGTGTTAATTCCGGCGGGGATTACGTGTTGTCAAATCGTGCGTGCGCGTGCTGGCTTTTTCTGTCGCGGCTCGCGGCATCGCGCCGATGACAGTGCTCGCCTATAGTTGATCTCAGAGGAGGTTCGCCGCCCGCTCCTCCTCTTTTATGCCTTTACCCCATACCGAGTCTTAAAATAATATTCCTTACTTTTTTGGGGGGAGCGTACGCGCGGGCGCGTACGCGTGACAAAACAGATGACAAAACAGATTGCCACGTGCCACGCACCCGTGCTATTTCCAAAGGAGCCCTCGCGTAATTTTGTGAAAGTATATAAAAACGCGGGCGCAAGATCAGATGCGATCAGAGGGAAAGAAAGAGAGAGAGAGAGAGAGAAAGAGAGGAGGATCGTCATCGCGTCGTTTGTTACAGGAGGATACTGCGCGCCCGCGGAGGGCGACGGGCCGGATTTCCACGAGCTCGGCGCCGACATTGAACGACAATTCCACGAGCTGAATGCCCTGAACGACGCGATCTTCATCGACGGATAAGTCTCTTCGATAGAAAAATTTCCCTTCCTGAGGAAAGCGACACATCAAGGAACGAATGGCTGAAGAAACGTTCGGTTTGCCGAACGGCCTGAACGACGCGATCTTCATCGAGGGATAAACTTCCTCGGCGGGAGAGTTTCTTTCCTGATGAAAGCGAAACAGAGTGCGATGTATCAAGGAAGAATAGAATACGTTCGGTTTGCCGAATGCTCTACTCTTCTCGTAATTTCATGCGTATATTCGATTATCTTCATCTAATTAAGATTCGTATTTGTATAATCATTTCGAATAGCTCCGTTGTCGTATACGTAATTATAATTGTTAAACTCTATAGATGTATATTTTGCTCTTGAAAAGGATGTAATTGCCCTTTACATCTCGGCACAAAGGAAACATGGATGATTCATCGGTCATTCACTGGCGCGTTCATTCTACCGCCGCGATCTCGTCGTTTCGTTTCTCTCTTTTTACAAACACTTTGATACTCATTACTCCGTTGTACTCGACAAATCGTATATATTTTTGTACATAGGTACTCATGTATATTATATAAGCGAACAAAATACATCATCATTTATTTCGACCGAGTGATTATCCCCGCACCTTCAACGCGCAACTCGGCCTTGTCCCTTCTTCTCTCCTTTTTAATTCTCTTTGCCGCAGATATTTGGCTTTTCCTCCGCTGTCAAATGCCGACAGATCAATTTGGGGAAGTCTCTTATAGCCTCGTCCTGATTTTCCTTCGAATATACCTGTACACAATTGAAATGAGATTGAATAACCGGATTTAGAATCATATCTAGCTGTGTAATTACCAGGATTGGATGGTAATTTAAAAAGTTAAAAATTAATAAAGTTAAAAGTTAATAACTTAACTTTTAACTTAACTTAACTTAGTTAATTTTAAACAAATTAATTTATAACTCCAACTAGTTATTTTTAAAATATATAAGTTTTAATTTATTAATTTTTTTCTAAATTGAAAATTTACCCATGTAGAAGAAAAAATTATAAAAGAAAAAAAATTCCTCATATAAGAAAAAATAATATTTCCTTATTTCATATAAATTTAATTTACAAATAAAATATTTAATTTGATTGATTGCAATTATATTATGTAGAGTATTTTAATTTTAAGAAATTACATTCTAATTTAATATAAATAATGCTTTTTAACATTAACTTTCAGTTTAACTTAAGTTAATTTAATTTTAACGAACTGAGTTAATTCTTTTTTTGTAATATTACTTTTAACTAAATTAATTTTATTAATTTTGAGTTAATTAACTTGATTAAACTTAAACTTAATTTAGTTAAACTTAAACCTTAATTAAGTTAAAAATTAATATTAATTTATCCAACCTTGGGTAATTTTATATGGAAAAACGGAATTTTGTATGCTCACCCCATTAATCACTATTGTCGGTACGAATCTCAAGGGTGGTTGGAGGGCACCGGTTTTATCGCCGTTCGCCGCGAGCAAGTCGTCCGCCTGTGGACTCGCGATGCAGTCGTCGATCAACTTTCGCGTATCCTCACTCAGGCCAATATCTTGAGCACACTAAAATTCAATAATTATAATTATTAACATATTCGCAACATAGTTTTCTTTTAAAGCTTTCTTTCTGACCGCTGTTATCTTAACTCCTGATAAACGATGCGCTTATCTTGGAGGAATTTTTACGCTGTATATTTTTTTACAATTTACACGAACGTGATGTTACGTGATGTTACGAATAATCGTAATGAAATCGTTTATTTTATACACAGAGAATCATTAAATATCACGCTACGTGCGTACGTCGAGAATCAGCCATCATCTACTGCAAACAGTCAGTTTAAGGAACTGAATTCACTTTCCCTTTACGTTTCACATTTCATCATTCGATCTCCCGCACGCGAGAAAACGACATATGCGGATAAAAAAAAAACTCCGATAACGACTCGCTTGAAAAATTGAAATATATATTCAAGTATATTTTCCTAGATGTTTTTATGTCTTCACACTTTTGCCAATTTGCTTCCCTTATTGCGAGACTCTAAAAATTGTATATTTTACCATTAAAAGTCAATTTTTCCTAATTACACCTTAATGATACTTTGTGAAGCATCTCGTTTCCCAATTTTCAAAATCATTGTTCCTTTAAATTGAATAATTGCACGCTATCGTGCGAACTCGAAATGGGAAAGTATGCCGGAGAAGTCGACGTCTCGCGAGGAGCTAAATGTCACGTTTGCTGATTCTCGCTCATCGATGCGAGTCTTAAGATTAATTGCATGTTACTTCGGTAAAAGCACGTTCGCCGTCGCGGCCTCGGCAGCCTCTAATCGCGGCCGGGAAATTACGATGGAGGAAGACTACCTGCGGGACGGCGTTCGGCGGGTTTCCAGAGGACATTACACAACCGACCAGGTCGACCATCATTTGCTGATGACGGCTCTCGGCCGTCTCGGAGGTCCGTATGGAATGAATCGCGCACGCCTGAGCCTTATTCCCACGGCACTCGGCCGGTCCGTGTTGACACAGGAATTCCCACGGACCGGTTTCGCTTTCGCGCGTGTGCTGTAAAACATATAAGCCCATTAATTTTGTACTTAATGGGACCGCCGCGCTCAAAGGACGACGACGATCTTCCTCGTGGATCCCGACGGGACCGAAGATCACAGATCGAGGCCGTCGTTCTGGTGTCTTCAAGGTTTTCGCCAAGGCTCGAAACGGATCGAGCTCACTTTGCGATAATAACGCGAGAGAGAGAGACATTTAAAAAAATTGCAAAAATTAATAAACAAAATTTGATAAATATGAAAATTGAAAACTCTATATATCTTTAATTAATAGATTGATAGACAAATCGCGGCGATTATTATATAAATTAATAGACGCGAGAGGCAGGCAAGGTGCAAAGTACTTGGACAGCTTTCCGCGTGATTGTCCTTGTCGAGATACAATCGTCTCGCTGTCGCCTCCTTATCGTCCCATCGGCGAGATGATAAAATTACGGAGGTGCGTAATTACAAGATTACTTACCGTAGCCTTGCCGTAAGGAACCAACGTAATGTGGAGGTGATGCTTCAATTCCGGATACGACGGCACGAGTTGATTTACGATCCATCGCATGCTATCGCTGCACAACGATTCATAATAAACATCCACGTTCACGATGGTCTTGTTCGATTCGTCATTGGCCGACTGCGCATTGGACTTCAACATAAAGTTATCGTACGAGTTATGAATATCGGGTGCCCTTCCTTCGATTCTTCTATAGTTTTTTTTTTTTGTTAAAAATAAAATTGAGATTTTTAAAGGAAATACTTCAAAGCGAAAAAAGTGATTTAACACTTCTTTACCCTCATCTTGTTTATATTTTCTTTTATCAACATTTTAAGTCTCCTAATAAAATTAAACAGTCTAATTAGTTAATTAAAATAAAAGCATACTATATAGTATACAGTATTTCTTTATAATTTTACATCAATATTAAATTTAATTTGAAATTAAAATATTTCTTTTTAAATTTGAATTCAGAATAATCCAATCAAAAATTATAGGAATATCTTAAATTATTTGAGTACAAAAATATTGAAACAAGAAAATCGGTAAAATATTATAAAAATATATTAAGAGAAGTTAGACAGTTTTGTTAGACAGAAATAAAAAAAATTTTTTTATAAAAAATAGAATAGCATCAGAATCCGAATGAGACTTTGAGAGTTTTTTACTTTTTATTATTTAAATCATTATTATTTTGTGAATATGTCGAAGGTTTTTGCATAAAAATAAATATTTAATGCCATATCGAGCCATGAAAAGTGCCAGATTTAAAATTCACTCTTACCAAAATGTCGTGACAAACGAGCGCAACAAAGACGATGGCCGCCAGCCGGGCGCGAGAAACCAACAAGTAGTGTCGCATGGTCGTGCCGCTGATGAGCGAACCAAAGAGAATGCGTTTTAAACCTGCTGCGGACAATCTTCGACAGGCGACCGCAGCGGACACGAGAGAGGGAGATACGAAAAGTAGCGTGCGGTGGGAGATTGTGAAAGAGAGAGTGAAATGAGACAATCGATAACAGAGAGAGGGATAGCCAGAGCGGCAGATCCTCATATTAATCGAGGACATCCAGCTTTGTCTGAAGGTTTCGGACTCAATAGCGAGTGTAAACAGAGGCTTACGATCCCTTTATAATAGCCTTCTCTCCAAATAGAAGTTTAGAACTTAAAGATATTCTTCTAATATTACTTTCTATCTACATATATCTTCATTTTCTAATAATATATAGATTTAAAACAGCTTCAAAGTTTGTTAATATAAAAAATGTTTTCAAGTCAAGCTTGAGAGACAAAGAAATCCAGTTTTTCCATTTTAAATGAATCATTGAGTTTAAAATTAAAGTTTCCGTTTTAAATCAAAATTTTTATCTCTTATAAAATATAATGCAATGCACGTACGTGAGAAGAATCTTGTTTGCAATTTTTTAAATACTCGCGAATTTACTTTCATATTCAATTTGCAGAATAAATATAATTGGGGATAACGATGATGTGAAATAAGATTGTTATAAACAACTATATACAATATATTTGTAATATGAATATGTCGACAATTCATATTAGAAATATTAAAGTTTATACATTTCACAAAGCTTGCGTCGTGATTAATAAATAACAAATTATTTATTATAAATAATTATCCATCTTTCGATCACACAATCATCCTTGTATTATATATTTATCAAATTATAATAAAAATTAGAAATGGATTGTGAAACGATGCACTTCATGATGACTTAGATGTACAGGCAGTAGTTCATATCATAGTAGTGCATATTTTTTTATTTCACAAAATTAGGAAGATAAAAACGAAAGATGAATGTATCTCTTAATCGATCTAATGGATTAATCGAAAAGCTAAATGTTACATATCTATGCCCTGATGGAATTTTACTTCCGGCTGCGTCTGTTTCAATTCGTCATACAATTCCATAGCGCGTTTCTTGAAAGTCGCAGCGAGTTCGGGATTTTTCTGTGCGCCTTCTCCGCGCATGTGCATCTGGGATAGATTCGCACAGGCATATGGATTGCCATGCTCACAGCTCTTCAATGACACCTTGTATGCTTCTTTAAGATTTTTCTCAATAATATTTTCAAAGCCTGTCAAGTATAAACCTGACAGATAGAAACAGGCCTTATTTGAGTTGTACATATCACAGGCCTTTCTCAGAAATCTAGCACCATTATGAATTTGACTAGCCCTGTCCTTTTCTCCGACATCATTTTTAGATGTTGCCAAGACACCAGCATGCAGACATCCATACTCGTCATTGAGTTCGCAGCTCTTTGATAAATATTTGTATCCCATTGATATGTCTTTGTCGCAACCTTTACCTGTGAAACGAAAAAAGCATTATAGAAATAATTAAATAATTCATATATCAAGTTTTATCTTTTATAAACAAAAGATTCCGAAATAAATGATTCTTTTAATATAAAGTCTATTTTTTATTTTGGACTGCATTAATTTTTCTTTCTTGCTTTCATCAAACTTTGAACATATATCCATTATTTTAAATGTCATTAAAGCATATAGTTTAACTATAAAAAACAAGTCTATTGTCTAATTAATCCAATAATTTCAAGATATGCGCCAGAACATTCATGATATCTGTCAGAATCATGTATCAATATAGCAGACGAATATCTGTTAGAGTTTTATATCAGCTTGCTCATTTTTCAAACAAATATCATTTTGATCTTGCTTTGACGAATTTCGCTTTAATTGCAACAATATATTACATATTTGGTATCATGAATCAAATCATAGAGATCTCAAGCTTCTATGATATGATATAAGATACACTTTCCAACTTTTCACTTTTTAATGACATAAATTGACTCCAAAGCATTCATTTCTTTCTTGGCATTCAATGAATAATAAGGACAAAACAATACTTTATGTCAACTTGTTTCATTAAATGGAAAGCATCCACAGTTACTAATAACACTGCTTTATGCTTCTCTTCACGCTACTTACCAACCACTTTGAAATCACCGAATTTCGCACAGCTTCTAGCGTAATTGTATTCGTCACAAGTCTTCTGGTATAACAACGCGGCTTTTTTCATATCCAAATTTATTGCCTCGTAAAAGTCGCCCAACAGGTGGCATACTGTCTCCGAACGAAGAGAAATGTTATTTATCTAATTGAGGTTAGACTTTGGAAGACATTACCGGCTTCACTCACCCTCCGGTTTTTTCTCGCTGTGACAGCCAAATTGGTATTCGATGTGAAGATTCTTCAGATACTCTTTCACGTCGTCTTCATTTTTCAAGTCATACGCCATTTCTTTTTATCTCAAGGTGCACGTGCGATGACATAAAGGGAAGTTATTTAAACATCCGTCATATCACACATACACACACACAAAACTGCCCTTTTAAAAAAAGGAAGATCCGTGGATCCTCGACGCCATCTAAAGTTGTGATTTCGAATGAATGCAACAGCTGATTTAAGATGCTTTTTCATGCTAATGTTCAAAATCACGTGATCAAAAGTGACTCAACATTTAGATTCTATGCACAATGGAGAAACAAAAATAAATAAAATTAATAAATAAATATTAAAAACAGAAATAAATATAATTAAATTAAATGTTAAGGTCTATGCGATAAGCAACAGGAAAAAAATAATGCAGGCAATAAATTTCAATCTATCAAAAAGCATACATCAATTAATAGATTGATATAATATTTATTCTCTTTCTAATATTTTTTCCATTACGCCTTATTCTTCACTGTCGTTCTTTTCATCGATTTTACCACTAAAAAATCATAGGCAAAAAGACATTTTTAATTTCAGCTTTAATTAATTTCTCTAATATTCCGTTAAATAGAATTGTTAACTTTTTTATCTTTTACAATTAATGCGGAACGCAATTGTAAATATTGCAAGATGCATTTTTCTTCAAAAAAGAGAATCTGGGGACTTTAGGATTTCCTATCTGGTAGCCAATCGGCGACTTTGTTTGACATTTCTTCGGTCTCTCTCGAATCTTTCGTTTCTCTCGTCATTTCGTCATTTCGTCATTTCATTTTTGTTTGATGGCAACGTACGGCACGCGGGAAAATGCCGCGTGTCAAAGCTTCCCCACAGAAACAAATCAAGACAGTGAACCCATCGGCAAACACGTGGGTGTTTCTTATGAAGGGTAAGCACGAGAATCAGGAATTTATTCCACTGACAATTTTCGCAGTTTTCTTTCATTGTTGATTGACTCTTGCGGTCGTTGTAGGCTTTCCGGAGAAACGGTCTCAGAATTGCATGTCTAAAAATGTATTTCAGAAGATGGTCTGGACAAAGTGAATGGAAGTCAACCAGAGATCGTTAAGCTTAGACATCCAGCTTCCAACAAGCCAGCTATATTCATGTTCAGTCCTGGAAATCTCATGGTACAGGAAGTTTTAATTTTTGATGAGAGAAAAAGGTCTTGGTTCATTGACGATAATGTCAAATCCGAAGGCAAGTTGTATCTGTCGACACCAATTGATCCAATCTTTTTGGCTTTGCCATATTTGAGGAAGGTAATTGTAGAATTTTACTTTTATTTATTATCTTTGTACAGACATTTCTGATAAGTTTGTAAGATTATCTTCGTTATAGTTGAAATTGGCACAACCGTTGGAACAATGTCTCTGGGATGAAGATTTTCCAGAGATATCCCGCCTTGTACAGTGTAAAAACTTGAATCTGTCATTAATTGCTGATCTTAAGGGTGATGAATCGCTACAGGCATTCAAGTTTAATGAGAAGAAGTCGTTGGATTGGTTGCAGAAAAAGGTGGAAAAAGTAGCAGATATATTAAAACAAAAAGGAATTCATGTGTCACAAGGTGCTACGAGTGCTACTTATGTTAAGAGTACTAAATATGAAATTGGTACAGAAGCAGGTATGAAAAATAACAAACACAATTAATTTGTTGTATGATTGAGAGATTAGATAAGATCAAGCATTTGACAGGACTTTTTCAGTGTCTAATTGAAACATTGAAGTAATATTAATCAATTTTGGTAGGCTCTATAAGAAAGATCAATTTATTAATAAAGTATTGAAAATTTTCTTATAGAATACTTAAAGTATGCACATGGTATTGTATCAGAATATCTTGCTGAAGATCTCTCAAAGAAGCTGGCACAACATTTGAATATACATAATGAAGTAGAAAGTAAAAAACGCAAACTGGATAGTTCTCAAAATGATATGGATGAAAAAAAATTAAGAAAGATTTTGAAGAAAGTCCAAATCCAAAAGCAAAGACGAAAGAATCAAATAAATCTGAAAAGGTGAATTATTAGTACAGTTATTTCTTTTCATTAAATGAAAATAAATAAATATAATTATAGATTTGAAACTATAAATTAAATCTATTAATAATTTTTGACTGTTTTAAAATTGTAATTGTTTTAATTCAATCTAATAATAATTATGTTATTGTTTTAATTTAATCTAATAATAATTATCAAATTGTAAATGTTCTTTCTTTAAGACATGAAATGATGAAATAAAATCTAAAGTATTTAAAGTGTTTATATGACAAGATTATTTAATTTGAATCTATTTTTATTTTTACAGATTCAAAAAAGTACAGCCCCTGGTAAAAAGGAATTAGCTAGACAGAGAGCAGCAGCAGGATCTAAGAGTATCACTACCTTTTTTCAGAAGAAATAATTAGAAAAATATAAAATGATTTAAAAAATTAATGTATTTATAGACAGCATATAGTGTACATTTTTTATAAATTTTATATGTAAATTGTAATATTTTATTGATTATTATGTAACAAGAAAAATAATTTTTCTCAATATCTAATAAATTTACAATGTTATTAACATTTAACATGATACAATCTGTAATAAACACAAAGCAAATTTTTATTTTTTTTTATTTCTATTTTTATCTTTTTCCTTAATTATCTAATAAAAACAATATAATTAGTGTATTTTGTCTGAGTATTGTGTAATTTGTCAATAATTTTCCACATCAAGATACTATTGTTGACTGCATTTTTAAAAAATTAGTATTAAAATTAGTATTAAAAAACTTTTTAAAACTTCAATTAGAAATAAAAAATAACACTTACACTCGATTTCGCTAAGCAATAAGTAAAGGTAAGAAAGATCAAGAAACGAACAATGTAGATAGATGGTCAAATTTCTTTAATTGGATGAAATTAAATGAATTGGATGAAATTAATTTGTCTGTACAACAAATGATAAAAATAATTAGATGAAACTAAATAAATTCATTTGTTTGTGTAACAAAAACGTTTCGACTTTTACTAAGTCTTCCTCAATTTATATAAAAAAAGGGGAGGGAAAGGAATTATATATTTTACTACTACAGTCTTGAATTTTCAAATGAAACATCCTCGACATCTTTGCAGGTTATGATGGATTCGAACACTTCTCGATTTAGTTACATGGCAGCCAACATCTAGAAGAAAAATAAGTTAAACTATCACCGTTCGAGAATATACCCTCAATGTGGGTAGAGAAAGATTTTCTAGATCGACAGCACTGCTTTAATACACTGCAATTTGTAGAATTGTCAAGCGTTTGGTAGGATCAGATGATTAGATACGCCAGACATGGAAGCTGATGATCGGGGAAAGAATGACGATTATTATTTGGAATTATCCCCTGATCCCATCAGATTTGAATCGGTCAGCTGCCTCACGAATGTGTTTTTCGATGATTCGAAACAGCAAGTTAGTCAACTTTATCTCATATTAAAAATCTTCCGTCTCTATGTGATACAGTGGTAAACACAATTTGTATACAGGTGTTCGCTGTCCGCTCAGGAGGCGTCACAGGAGTGCTCGTTAAGGGCCCGGACCAGAACTTAAACTTCCGGATGGAGGACAGAGGCCCAGTGATATCCATCAAGTTCTCCCCTGACATGAATATACTCGCGATTCAACGTACCAACTCGTCAGTGGAATTCGTTAACTATTCCTCTCTCTCTGGTTTGGATCACGTTGAGTATTCTCAGTCATGCAAAGGGAAGAACGCAACGATATTAGGCTTTGTGTGGACCCATGGCACTGAGATACTTGTAGTCACAGATCACGGTGTAGAATTGTTTCATGTGCGGCAATTTCTTATATTATTTACAAAAAATTATGATAGTCTATATATTAACAAACCTTTTTTGAAATTTACTCTAAAAGTGCTAAAGATATTTTTAATGTATTTTTAATGATATTTTGAAATCACCTTTGTTACAGGTCAATCCAGAAAAACGCAATGTTAGAGCATTAAAATGTTTAAGTTTAGGTGTAAATTGGTTTGTTTTTTGTCCCAAAAGTTATCTGGTATTATTGTCATCTGGTACAGTTGGTAATCAAATACAAGCGTTGCATGTTACACCTGGCAATCTTCACAAATTAACCAAATTCGAAAGTTAGTAAGAGAAAAATAATATGTTTATTAACATGTTAAATAATATGTTTATTAACATTGTCCCAAGCAAAAATTATTTTTGTATCTACGATATAATGTTTTAGTTGAACATAATATAACGAAACCAGGAAAGTTGGCCGTTTCTGAGAGGGATGTAGCATTGGCTGTATTGTATGGAACGCCTTGTATAATTTTGCTACGGCATCAGCCAGGAGCTAACCGCTCAATAGGGACAGCATTTGTATATGTCTATACTATACACAAGTAAAATTTACACGTATACTGCTTTGTCTACTGCTTTAAATGTAATACTGGTTATTCAATGTTATAGCTATATGTCTTTGCAGAATGATGACCATTAAAAAAAGTCATATGTTAAAACTGGATGTTGGTGGTAGATTTGCCATAAACGTAGTTGATAATCTTATTATTGTTCATCATCAAGCATCAAAGGTATATATTGCTACTGAACAAGTTTATTGAACAAGTTTATTCAAAATAATAAAATTTATGTTTGTATTTTTATATAGACATCAATGATATTCGATATCATGCTATCTGGTGTGAGTGATGGAACAGTAATGCATCATACAAGTGTAACCGTGGCGAAACCAATTAAACCTTTCAATCTTAAAGTACCAGGCGCGACTTTGTCAGATCAGATGTATCAGCCATGTCAGTTATGTATCCTTTATGTAAAAGTATATTATTACTTGTCAATTTAATTTTTTAATTAAGTAATATAAGTATATGATATTGATTCCCAATTATTAAATCTTAATATTATATAGATTCTCCTAATTGGGTCGTTTTTCAACCAAATATAATAATTGATGTAAAATTGGGTTGTTTATGGTATGTTTAAAATTAATTATAATATTTCATCTTGATTTATTTTTAATTTACATAATTTTTCTCATTTTTATTAATAATAAAATAGGTATATTGAGCTCAGATTGGAAGCCTTAGTGAAATTGATTACGGATAAAGTGCTTCTAATAGAATTTCTAATGCAGCGGTCAAATGCTAAGCAGATATTAATACAAGTCTTGCAGAGTTTTATGACTCAGTTGCCTGTAAGCTTAATGGAAATGCCAACCATATTCGATAAACTTAACATTGTGTATAGAAATTATTTAGAAAGCGAAATACAAAACCAGGTAACGATAAATTATGTTTCGCTTTTTTTGATATATGATTATATGGTATATATTTATGTGTGTAATAATTAGGGTCCGGATGTTCGTGCGATTTCTCGTGTCGCGCGCGGAGCACTGCGTGCGAGTGAGTCGAGTGCTCGCTAAAATGAAATAACAATATTATAGCAATAACTCTTTATCTTTTTGGATATTTTTTGGATATTATATTATTTACTTTCAATATATTGTATTTGTTTCATTTAATCTATGTTATATTTTAAGATTTAAAAAGTAATATGATTTTAAAATATTTGTACTTCTAATAAAATTCAAACATATTGTTTTCTGTATTTTGTTTAATAGACCGTGCGCTAGCCGAAATTATTAATTCGGATTACGTCGAGTCGAGCGTCGGGTTTCTTTGAGAAATTTTACTATCTCACTTTAGCGAGAACTCGACTTACTCGCACGCAGCGGTGCTCCGCGCGCAGCACGAGAAATTGCACGAACATCCGGGGCCTAATAATAATTATTAAAATTAAGCATATTATATTCATTTATCAATTGCAGATGGGAACGCCTTTACAAAATAATATTAAAAATGTAACAACAGTGACTGATAATTTTAAGTATAAACTATTGCTTGATCAAAGCGACATGTATAGTCACATATTGTCCAAATTTTCTGAAGGTACGATTGAACCAAAGATGATAATATGGGTCTTACTCGAATATATTAGGTAGGAATCAGAATGGACGATAATTTATAATAAATTTATCGAGATTCAGCTTATTTTATCCCAGATTTTCCTATTTTATCAGATCATTAGCTGAACACGGAATACCGGTGCAACATTACTTGCATGAATTGGTCATCACAACATTGGTACATCGGAAGGCTTATTATCAGCTCCATCAGTTGTTACAATACCACGTGGTTGCTGATTCGAAACCTTTAGCCTGTTTACTACTTTCTTTAGAAAACTTGTATCCAGCAGCGCATCAATTGGCATTGGATATGTTAAAACGACTGGGAAACGCGCACGAGGAGATAATCGAAGTGCTTTTATCGAAGGGACATATCTTGGCTGCCTTGCGGTAATTTGGTTGGCTATTTTTAATATTTGTTAACACATATATGTATTATACCTTTACATTTCAGATATGTTCGATCCGTCGGAATGACGGATCAGATATCTGCGAGAAAATTCTTAGAGGCAGCGAAAGCTACCGATGATGCGACGCTTTTTCATTCAGTCTTTAAATTTTTCGAGCAGCGCAACTTGAGGTTGCATAATACTACGGCCTTCACGAAGGGTGAACATTGTCAGCCATACGTTCAGCATTTTAAATATCTGTTTCAAGGAACGGACAATGAGTGCAATTCGGATACGAATTCGAATGTTACCACTATTTCTTCGTAAGATTCTTATATCGGTGTCCGTGTAGCGCTATTTGAGAACGATAGGTAAAGAAATAATCACATTTAATTTTTATTTAATGAAACTGATAGAGAATTTATGTGCTGTAGCTACTTCGTAATTTGTAAATTCCTGTAGTGTTGTATAAATCTATATTGTTATGGATTATTTATTATATGAAAGAGAGAATAAAATTAAGGCGAATTTGTAAATAATATATATGTCATTTACCTTATTAAAATATCTTCTTTCCATTTTTTTGTATTGCGTTCACATTGCAGGGTTTACTTTATTACGGGAGTCATAAATTCGAAACTTACAAAGTATAAGGTTTCTTTAATAATCTTTTAATAGAGCGAGAGACTTACTATGTAGTATAATACATTTATAATGAATTTCTTATTTATGAAGAGTACTTAGTAATATTAGCATTCGTTTTTCTTTTCCGATGTGTATTTAAACGACATCGCACGATACAGATTCTCCTTAATAAAAAAAAAAAGAAAAAAAATGAATAATTGTCGCTTGCATCTTCATAATATAGTGAAAGATAAACGAGTTGGTCGCTGGTCAGGTTGAACTACAATATTCAGTAGAATTTACAATAGGACTTTAGATATATATCAGAGATACAATAAATACAATCTGTTGCAGTAAACTAAGGACTATACAATAATAGACGCTGCAGTTTCAATTAACAATAACTTTAGATATTCAGAGAGCGGTAACAAGTTGAGGAAAAGTGAGAAGTCGCTGCTATCAAGCTGTAAATTTAAGCGCTTTCTTTGTTATATTAAGAGAAACTTCAGTCAAATTCCGATTAACTTAATTGATGATTAAACTCTGAATTAATGCTCCATTAATTGGATATATTTATTAATACTTCATTGTTTGATAAATGGAAGGAAATACTGATTAGGAAGAATAAATTGCATAGTTAGAAGCTTTGTAAGCGAGCTTGCTAGTTGGATTAATTATCGTTAATCGAGATTTGATCAAGTCGTCCTACGCAATTATTATCGAGTATTATTGATAAATCTACTTAGATAATGATAAAAATGCTCAAATCCTCTAAAGTAATGTGCAAAAAATTACATATACAGTGCTCACACATAGGAAGAAACAGCGAGATACTTGGAAATTGGTCAAATGTGTTACTTTATTAATGTTACATCTGTTAATATTGATGATTAAACAATCTCGGAATCATTTATAATGATTTACAAATAATTGTTTAAGCTCGGTTGCTCATGAACATAAAGTGCGGTGCAACCGCATTATTTTTGATCCTCTTTAAAAGAACAGAAAATTTGTTTAAAGATTTTTTTGTTTTATTATATAATATTCGTAAAATTCTGAATATATATTTTGAAAGGGAGTTTTAAGTCCCATCTTACAATGTTATAATCTCACACTTATTTTTTTAATTTTCTAGATGAAAATTGATAAACGATTATAAATTTATTTTTAATTTATTTTTTAATTAATTCAATTTAATTAATTTAGAAAAAAACAAACAAAAATTATATATTATTGATTTCGCTTTATCATATTCGTACAATTTTTTGTTGAAAGAATAAAAACAGATTCATAAATGTTACATATGTTACATATATGTTACATATATGTTACAATAATTTACTTTAAGATAAAATTGAGTAATTAACAGAAAGTTTATCTCATTTGTAACAATAATATTTTTTTCTATCTTTTATTTGAAAAAAATTTCTATATTTATAAGCTGTATTTATTTTATTTTAATTATAAAAAGTAAATGAAATATATCTGAAAAAAAGACAATTTTAAAAATGTACAGGAATTAATTGCATCTTTACAATATCTTTTATATAACACATAAAGACAAGAAATATTCGTTTAATTAAATAATGCAAAAGAGAAAAAGAGCTGATTATAAAAAAAATGAATTATTTTTATCTGAATAATCATTTTATTAAAGAAAGCATTTAAATTACAAACTAAAAGTAATGCAAAAATGTCTCGCGTTGAAAAAAGATTACTAGGATTGAAAAAGCTATCATATTCCGATATGGAAGTTGACGCGGGCAAGACGATTTCCATACTCTTCAGAAATTGCGATTTTATATACAATGTACCCGCACACACAGTTCAGAAATATAATTGGATTTTGATTGGCTATTGCTTGTTCTGGTATCTCCTTTTGCATTGTATTTGCGATGCTCATCGAGCCCGCGCATACGATTTCGTCGCATTCGAATATTCGAGATTATTACAATAATTGCTGTAACAAAATATAGATAATATTATTAAATGACAATAAATGGGTGTGACGGGATAAGTAAAACATAAGCGTATGTATGAGCGTGTGCAGCGTAAATTGTAATCATATTATACATGAATTAAAGTTGTTCGCTTGGTCGAGAATTGGCGATTCAGAATCGCATCTTGTAGAGATGAAAAGCGCATATGTATTGGACATCACGTCATTCCGTTCCGGCACCGGAAATTGTAATAATCCTTCACATTATATTTTCATAAGCTCGTTGACAGCGATAATAGATAATAGATAAATTAATTCTATGCTATATTTTTAAGAAAGATAGAAAAATACAGAAAGAGAGAGGAGCAAAGAATCGAAAGAAACGATGAAGAAAAAGAGAGAAGGAAAGGGGGAGGGAGAGGGGGGTGGGAGAGAGAGAGAGAGCTAATTATCAATAGACAATAAATTAAATTATGTCTGTTTCGATAATCATTTTGTTAAAAAGATATATACAAATCGCGAAATAATATAATTAGATTTTGTTGAGAGAATTATTTAATATTATGAAAAAGTTTGTGTTTATATTTTAAAGTATAAATTGTGACCGATAGCACTTCAATTCATTTAAAACGATATCATAAAAATACATTTCATGGGAGATTTGAGAGGTTTCAAATCTCCTCCAAAATTAAGAAAAAGAGAGTTAAAGTTATAAAGTTATGATTTACAAAATCTAATATTTTTCTCTCTTTGAAAGGAACGAGGAGATATTCTAAGCTCTAAAATACACAAAAAAATAATTCATTAATGCAAAAAGTTGCCGGTTTCGAGTTCGCGCACGTCTCGCGTACTTTAAATTAATTCGATTATAGTAACAATATATATATAAATAGCATTATTAATTAACAGCGATAAATAAAGTGCAAGCGTATGTAAAAATGCGTGAATGGAGACGTGAACGTGTGTATTACAGTTGTACTGTACATACAATACATGCATTAAAAAGTCATTTGTTCGATCGAGAGGATTAAGTTGGCGTCCTGCGAAAAAAGGTGCGTACGCCTAAGTGCCAAACTTCACGTCGTTTCATTCAACGTTGCGTCGTCGCGCGTTCCGTAAGCTCGTCAACAGTGGTAAGAGGTAATTTGAGAATTAATTCTATAAGATATTATATTCTATCGAGGAAGAGAAAGAGAGATAGAGAATATACAGATACAAGCATAGTTATAGTTTTGAATTCGGATTTCATTGGTTCCTCTCCTCTTAACGTCTTCATTACCGTCCAGTTTGTTGATACGCGTAAGATGGATCGAAATTTCCAGTAAATATAAAATACAGTACATTACAATAATTTCTTAGCAACATAATTGTTACGTTTATTTGTATAACATATATTATATTCATTTTGTTGAGTGAAAAATTATAGGGAGTCAATATAATATTACTGTTAGTTTGTATTTACTGGCTTTTCTCTCAAATTTTAACACGATAAATCCCACGATTTATTAAAATTAATTATCGTTTTCGCCTATATATTACTTTTCTCTTCAGTGAAAGATAATAACTGATAAATATCTTCAAGTCTATTGGTCTATTGCGATATTGTCCTATATATTAAAGAAAAAGATTAATTTCTTAATCAGATTGTTAATCAGAAAGAAATGTTAATTTATTTCTACCACTTCCCATACGCTGTTCTCCTATCGCTAGTCATTTATTCCTAATTTATAACATCTATAAGTATGTAATTTCATCGTACATTGTGTCAACGTGATATATTAAGCACATTTCGTAACTTTATATGTGCGAATTCTGCGACCTGGATATAAATTAATTGATAAACACCGGCCGATAAGCAAGGCGTTAAGATATACGAGTGCGTATAAATATACTTACAGACAGACATTAGACAGAAACTTCTCGAAAGTCGAGAATTCCTCCCCTTTTGATTCATTAGCTTAGCCACTTTTTGTTTTATGTGTCTATATGTATAGGCTGCCCAAAAATACACGCGTACTTTGGATATTTGTACATGAAAAAAGTGATTTTATCGAAGTAAAAATTTGGCTAAATAAAGATTCTACAATAATTTTGTTGGATCATCAAAATTATCATGTAGAATATTTAAATATAATAACAACACTAGAAAAATCTTTGATATTTTAGCCAATAATTTTGAATGTATAAATAACTACATAATTATTTTGAGAGTCTAAAATTACTTTAAAATTTGTATCTGACCAAATTTTTAATAAAATTGTCTTTTTTTTTAGTATATTTTATACATGAATAGAGAAATAAATTGAAATAAATCAATGGATCCAAAACAATTTTAAACTATTTAAGTTTAAAGTTTTCGTCATCAGTAAAAAATAGAAAGATTTTCTTAAAATCGATATATATAATTTGAATAAGTTAATCTTTACATTTTGCAATACTTTGCAAGTACTTTGATTGCCTGAAAAAACAAAAATAATTTTCATACATTAAAATTTGGACTGATTTGGAAGTAGCTGAGCTTAATTTCAGAAATTTTCGTATCGCTTTCGTTTCGTTATTCGTTTTAAATAATGTCGTTTCGTTACATCGTCAAGAGCAATAACATTACATAAAGTATATAAAATATAATTGATGATGTACTCGCAAATAATGTGTTGACATCGTTTTTTATTAAAAAAATATAAAATATTTAATCAATATCCAAATTACGCGCGCATCTTTCAAGAGATATCCCATATAGAAGCAATAGAATCTTTGACATGGTATATATAGACACATGGTGCGCCAATTATCGATAATGTGTACAGCATCACCTGGGAATACATACGTAATTATATCGAGAGTTTGGGAATTAATTATTTACAGGGATATCATTACCCGGCCATTCCGCTTGTTTGCGAGAGTAAGCTTGAAGAATTGGAAATCAGTAGGAGGAGCTTATGGATTTTAGAAGCTTCGAGAAGAAGTGGATCGTGTCTTTTACTTCCGATGCGATGGATATGGCGGATTGGGTGAGTACAGAAGAAACAAAAGATATTGTACCGTTGCAAAAATCTTGAGCTGAAAGTTTTGCGAATTGAAAATTTGAAAATTTTGAATTGAAAATTTTAAAATTATTATTAATTATTATTATTAAATTCGAGAAAATACGTTCTCATATCAGCATGTTGAAATTTGGCGTGTGTAATTATTCGTTCTAATTACAAAATATTCGGGGTTGCGGAAAATAATTGATTATTGTTATCAATAAGCTAAAGGCCATTGTCCCGTTAAAAATATCTTGCAAAAATCTTATTTCTTAAACTCAGTGTCAAAGCAAAAGAATAGTCTTTGTTGAGTCAACATCTACGCAATGATAGATTTTAGCATGATTTTGGTCCATTGTACATATTTAAATACAGATTGAGTTTAGTTCGTTCATTATTTAGAATACATCGCGTAAATCATTGTTATAAAGGAGGCTTTGTAAGGTACGAATAAAGTTCGACAGATAGGATCTATCTCAAGAAATCCGTTGAGGTCGCGTGAAGTTTCATGGACACAGGAGAGAATGTTCGCTACAATTACCATAACGAAATTGCGTCTGTGTTTGTCGACGAACGTGCAAATTTCTGCGAGGTGTAACTAAAACTCATCGAATCATTTAAGCCAGGAATCTATCTTAAAATATCTTAATTTATTAAATTAAATTTAATTCATTATATTATTTCTAATATTTCTTGAAATTTCACTGAATTTCTTATTTTCTCTATATAAAAAAAAAACTCGTACTCGCTAAAATTTAACGAATAAATGCATGCTTTATTGCAGATATCATATTGGAAAAATTAATCTTTTGTGAAATTTAATACGAAACACAAACACACGAAATGAAAATCTAATTTTCTCAATTACAATTTAAAGAATTTACACAATTTAATTACAATTAAAAAAAAATTATATTTGTCAATAAAATTTTGCATTGTTTTTTCAATATCTCATTTTATCTTGTCTTATAAGTAATATAATTTTAAGTGAATATTCTTTTAGGAGATTCTTGTATGCAAGTAAATTTAGTAAAATGTAATAATTTGAAAAATTAATTGTACTTTTTCCTCAATCTTACTTTTTGCACATTCGTCGACAACACACTGCACTTGCATTTGTACAAAGGACAGAACCGATAGAAATACACTGCTCTCTCGCATTAAAATGTCAAAATACAAAATTTCACGCATACATTCGTACGAAAATGTTCGCGAGGTGCTCGTTAAACATACTCTTATGACCTTTTTTTCAACAATGAACTTACCTCGAGAACATCTCGCGATTTCAGTTCACTTCACTGAACATACCTTTCACCTTTATAATTTCCTCTTGGTCGCGTGAAAAATATCTTAATGGGACGGTTATTAATATTCGTAATCTAGTCGCATTACTTAATAGAGCGATTGATCCTTTTTTAGTCTGCGTTTGTCTTGTCTTAATCTCCATTTAAATTCATTGAAATTTGTTTCGTTCTTATTTTTTTAAACAGTTCAAACTTTCAAGCGTGATTCGTAACATTATATAAAATAATGCCGACAAGATTAAAATAATAAACAATAGTAAGTAATAAAAATGAGAACATAGTGAATTGTGATCATAATAAGATCGTTATTTTGCAAAGATCTTATTATAATTGATCGCAGTTGACTAATCAATTGTGCGAATATAAATTCGCATTTACAATCGGCAAATGTCAAGTTGTTCGTTATTGCAATTATCAAAATCGTTAGTTTATGAAAGTTTTTAATTTAAAAATGATATATTTTGTATAAATCAAAGTTTTCTGAAACATGAAAGTTTAATCTTTTTGATTAGTATTACACAAAAAAACATTCTAATACAATACTCGCATATATATTTTTGTAAATACTAATTCTTAATTTATTGCAAGACAAATAATCAGCTTATGTCTTGATATCAACAAAAGGTTTTTTTATTTTTATTTGCAAAATATGAATTCTGTTTAAAAATTTCTAGCTGTATAATAATCTAAACTATTTGTTAAAACACTTTATTTTCTATCTAGGTACTTCACGATTATATTCTCGAATTAACTTATTCGATGATTATATGTATTCAAACATACTTTTATGACGCATAAAATAAGATGCGAGATATTATTAAAATAATTTTATGTTGAGTTACTAGACTTTGTTGGGAAATATATTTCTCATACAACCGAGAATTAACAAGACTGTAACGACTGTACTCTCAAATGTATGCAAATTCCGATATTCAACCGAATATCGCATCAAATATTCATATAACTCACTATTTTTTAATTCTTATGATTACTTGCTTAATTATATAATATTATATTACATATTTTTAATGTCTACGTATCAATTATGATATATGTATATTCAAGATATTTCGCATACTTCAGTACTGTTATAATAGGTGTTTTAGTTTGTGGTATTTTTTTCAATCCCCTTTGTGCATCGGTTCAGTTACGATGACATATGAGTCTCCTTCTTGTTCTATTTTATACATAGATCTTTCTTTACTTCACAATTGCATATACAAAATATCGGCATTTTTTTTTCAATACTTTCTGCACTACTTTTGATTTCTTCTGAGGTAAAATCTATTCCTGACTTTACAAAAATAAAGATTAATATAATATAAATAATTTTACGATCCTTTTTGAGAATTATTAATAAGGTCATTAGTTTTGAGATAAGAAGTCATTAACTTCGACAATATTTTTCCATACAGACAAAATTTTTACTTTAATAATTATTCTTTTAGTTATTGTCTTATCATAAACATTTCAAAACAACTTATAATAAAACAACTTATAATAAAAGTAACATAGTAATAATATAAATATTAATAAAGTTTTAACATAATTACTATTTTGCATTAAAAAATATATATATAATATAATATAATATATCATAAACTTATATATATATAATATATATATAAGTTTATGATATAGTATTATTTCAATTTTATGATAAAAAATGTTTGAAGAAAGAGTTAAAAATATAAATAATGAATTATAGTAGAATAATAATGTTATAATTAAGTTCTCTCTTTTTTAAATATTATAAGAAATTTCTAAGAAATTGTAGCATGAATGAGATTTATTAAAATAATATAGAACAGGAAGGAGAATCGTTCTATCGATTCTCGAATTACATTATATAATTAGCGTCCTATCTAAATCCGAATATCTAAAATAATGTGCTTTGATATATTTCCTGTAAGTAATGCGTTATTGGAATTTTTAATGGTTATGAATATATAATTCCTAAATATTGCAATATACTTTCGGGATACTAACATGTTCAACGATTGCGAACTATTCATATGATTATTAATTGTTATGCATTTAATATATATAATCACTTCAAAATTATTAAAACAAAATGCGTAACTAAATAGAAATTTCAACAAAATAATTTATCAAAAATTTAATAAGATATTAAATAAGATTTCAAGATTTCTACCATTCGTTTTTTATTAATAAATTTTTTGTCCAATTAAGTTAAGTAAAGCGATACGAAGAATTAATTGTTTTATAAATAATTTCAAATATACGTGGATCTTAATTTAAAATAATCCTTAGTATTAATTGCTAATTTATTATTTAACGTTACAACTTAGGAACTCTTCAAAAAGGAAACATATGTGCTAAGTAAAATCTGATTTTAATATTGTTCAGCATACAGAATGAAATTGCTAAGCTTTATTGTGTTCCAAGATATTAATCAGAAAATATGCAAGTTGCACAATTTGTTGCAGTAGCTCGTCAGTTTATGAGTATTAAAAGAGAGAAGTACTTATCTGATAACAAAGTTAGCAGGAAGATAGTAGTAGAAAAAAAGTCCTTTGTACTTTGATTATTACGTATTCTGTAATTTGCAAACGAATTTCTTTTTACGCGACGGCTCGCGACTAGAAACTTCTTCTAACACAAGCAAAATTAATATTTATACGATACGCGTGCGTTGTGTAGAATAAAAAAAATTTTAAAAGCACATTTTTACTACTAGAATATTTCAGTTGATCATAAAGCATACTTAAGCGCAGCGTATTATTGCAAAAATTTAAAGCATATTATCTAAGTAAAATAATATCTAACTTTTTAATAATTTTAATCTTTTTAAATTATCACTAAACATTTTTGATGATAATAATTTTTAATTTTTCATCAATTATTAATTCGTTGTTTGAATGATATCAAAAATTTGAAACACATTTTGTTTTTTGTTTCCAGTAATGAAAGAAAACATATTTTAAATTTCTTATCAAAAAGTATTTTTCAAATTGACGTTTTTGATTTCATTTGCATTTTAATTTCAATATTACAAACTTTTTGCACGACGCAAAGAATTCTTGGAATCTTGCGGGATTTTCGTGCGAAACTCGTGTTTTAAAATCGCTATTTTTCCAGAAAGACAACACTTTTAATACAGATTAAAATCGCGGATTATACGCAGTTAATTAATTCATATACGTGTTCTTTTGATGTTACGAGCTAGCGTATATGTGTCGGAAAAGCGATATGCTTTTTTTTCTTGATTTTGAGTACAAACAACTGCGTATTTCTTCTTCTAAACAGAATTTTTTATAAGCTCTTTTATCGCTTTCCTTATACATCGTACTTTTTTGGGTTATTCTGGAAACGTATAAAAATAATCACAAGAAAATGTTGCATATATATAGTATTCTAATAATATAATTTTTTTTAAATCAAAAGTATTTACATGGATGAATATGAGAGTTCATTCATTCGTTGAAAATAATTATATATTCGTCATTAGACATCAATTTCACATTCGTACTGTTAATATATATACAGAATGTTTCAAGAAAGGTATGTATCAATAGCAGAAAGCTTGTGTACTTTTACAATTTGAATTCGAGTTTTTCTCAACAAAAATTTAATAAATCATTTAACCAACCTATGCACGACTACCACATAAAAAAAATCACGTTATTATGATTTGAAAAAAATATTTGAGATTTTAATTGAAAATTTAACATTTTGTATTATATAAATATTTTATTTATATAAATATTTATATAATACATAAATATTTTATTAGGAAAAATCAATTTACAACTTTTACAATTTAATTATAACACTCTTCTTATCGATACACATCCTTTCCAGTGCAAATTTTAAGTTGACGGTCTATATCTCTTCGAGCTAGATTTCCTCGGAAAGCAGCCATTTTATTTACTTGTCACGCTTACTTCTCACCTTCTTGGAGTCTCATGGGTCGGAGACGGAGTAAGTGGTAAATGTTGATCCATTATCCGTGGAAAGATTATTCGCCTCGTTTCCTTGTAAATCGTGAGCCCCAGCTCGAGTCTTACCTTAACGCACTTTATCAAAAGAACTCAGAACAGTTGAGTTCTTTGTCGCGTTTCCTCACGACATAATCGGGACCAGCGGATTCATGGTCGCGGACGAAGTTCATTTTCCGGTTGCTCGGAATGGCCGACTTAGGAGATGTTGCAGTCATCGGCGCGGGCATCCCTGATCTGCTGCTTCGTTTTCCTTGAGGTACGCCTGATCAAGCTGCGGCTACGTGGCTTGCTTTTCACCTCCTCGGTGACGGAGACGACGCTGGAACCCTGAGCCGCGACCACTTGCTGGGAATTCCCCCGGGACCGCGCTGCCGGTTCTGCCGCCAGGACTTCCGGATCTTTCGTTGTAATAAAAGAGAATTAGGAGCGGTCGGGAAATTGTTGGGTAAAATTGACTTGATTAGTGCTAATTCCCTGATCTCTTTTTCAAACACACACATACACACACACACACACACACACACACACACACACACACACACACACACGCACGCACGCACGTACGTACGCGTGTTTTCGATGTTTCGAATTTTCAATGTTTGATTATTAAATTTACAAATAGCATATAGATAAAACATCGATTTTTTTTAATAGTAATTTTGTAATAATTTTTTATAATAATTTATGTTTCATATCTCTGGAGAGAGATTATGACTGAAGAAGGATTTTTTTTCAGAAAGAGATATTAAGAAAAGGGCGACAACTAGGGACAGAGGAATGCAATATTATTTAGAACTTTGAAACAATAATACACTGGAATACAGTTCCAGTTCTCTAGCGGGCCATTAAACTGCCACAATTAATTACATAAGTTCCATAAATGAAGTTATAATTGAACAAAAGTGAAAGTAAAAATTTAAGCATTACGACACCTTTCTGGAAATGCTGTGAAATATAAAATATTTAAATTTGGACGCTTTTTAAGCGTAAATCAACTGAAAAGACAATGCATTTACCAATATATAAATATAGTTTTAAATTCATTTTTATTAAATTTTATTAGTAACATTTTAAATGAAATATATAAAGTCTTTTTTTCAATAATTTCTGATATTCTATTCACGTGCATATCTGTATAACAAAATAGTCGTAATCCAATAGATAATTATGAATCAAAAGAAACAAGCTAATGACATAAACGTGAATATTATCAAGTATCAATAATAATAATAATGTAATGAGAGTAATCGTCGACAATGTGAAATCCTAAAATCCAAAACGATATCGAATGTTATACAATTATATTTACATATGATTTACTTCAATAATGATGATTGGCGACGCGGAAGTGCATTGAAAATCTTTTATATTAGACACCTATTTTGTTAATATTATATGTTGTCAATAGATGAAATCGTATTTAGATAAAAATACGATTAAATGACGAGTTTGCAAATAAGAGACGGTTAAGGTCGTTTGATTGAAATTATCATTTGTATATGTTGTTCAAAGAAATCAAATATTGCAATCTAGTTTAGCATTTATTAGTACGTGACCTGTATCAGTTTCTTTCTGATAAAATGTTTCTATGATAAAATATCAAGCATTTAATATTGTTTTACAAATAAATCACATAAAATTTAATTTTTACAATTTTTTTATTCATTTCATTCAAAAATAGTTTTTATATCAATAATTATTTATTATAAAGCATAATTGATAGTTTTTAAAGCATAATTGATAATTATTAAAATTATAAGATGCGTAATTATCATTAATGGGTCTATTAAATGATATTAATGGCCCCTAAATCTATATTTTCACTCTATGTTTAACTCGTGTCTCTTACAAATCTTCTCATTTGCATAGGATGCAATCTTCATCTTAAGCCTTCTTGCACCAACTATCTGAGTTAAGCCTGACTTAGCGATTTACTGTGTCTTTCGAAATTACGGTCTCATCTAGTGATGGATATGACACGAAAAATTTACTTAATCATAGAAATTAATGCAAAGCAACGAACAAAATCAAATTTTAGATAACAATAAAGTGGAAATAGGAATAGTCAGGTATTATGTTGTAAAATATACAGTTATATTTTAAAATATGCTGATTATATTATAAACAATGTCCATTTTAGCAATATAAGTTAACTTTAATATCAATTTAATTTACCTTTTATCTTTTTCTAATTCTTAGAAGTAGAAAACAATAAAAAGTAAATTTAATTTCTTATCTTTTCTATTTAATTTCTAGATATTTTATATAAATTATTCTAGCAAGCTAAGTGTTAAATTCGAAATATGTTAAAAGAAGGAGTAACAAGAAGCGCTATTCTCTTATAATTTGAAAAAATTAGCTTAATTGATTGAGTTAAAAAAGAATCTATTTTCCAACTTCCGACAAAAAAGTTTCCATATATAACTATACAAGTATAAAAATATATATAATATATATAATGATATAATTATATATAATTATATATATTTATATATAATCACATATAACTATATACATATAACTATATCATTACCTTATATATATAATTATATATTTTTACGTATGTGCCTCACATATATATAATTATATCTTATATCCAATTATATATGAAAAATTTTTTATTGGATCTCGACATAAAATTCATGTTCATTATAATAAGGATCCTATATACGAAAACATAAATATCTTATAGCTTAATAGCCTCATTAAAATAATATAATACCTGCGTGATCCGTATGCCGAACATCTCCTTTTGAGTCCCGACTGCTCGACCTCGCCGGTAGGGTTTTTCGGCACGATCCTGGAAAGCGTGACGAAACATCTGAATAAGTCCTTAATGTTGTAGTCGTCCTTTGCCGAGCACTCCATCACTTTGGCGCGCAGTTTTGGCAATTCGCAAAACAGCCATTCGCTCACGTCCTCGATAGGTACTTCTCTTCGTGCTGGCGCTAGATCAAGTTTATTGCCGGCGACGACTATCGGTACTTCCTGAATAACATAAAGTACATCTCTGTCACCATTTCTTCTTCCGTAACTGACGAGATCAAGAGAATCAAAGAAGTCCGATATAATATTTTCCGTTAAATCCGTTAAATATACTGTTCAAAATGGCATGGACATTGTGAATTTGAATGTTGCTTCGAATATAGAATAATTTTCCAAATTTTTAATTTAGATCGGAGGAAGGAGAGGGAGGAATCGAGCGTGGCACAGCGCACTAGTCTACAATTCTAGACCAGTCCCAGGTTCCCGGCAGAGCCAAAATATTTACGCTCGTCTCCTCTCGGAAGGCAGCAGCAGCCATCCACCGGGAAGTAACTTTGAACGATGAACGTCTCTCTACCAACAATTTGCCATTCGGAACCGGCGTTGGCTCCAAAGGACCTAAGGCTCCCTAAGGACCGACACTGATTCTTTCCATTTGGCCGGCCTAGGGACCGACATTGTCAAATAAAATTGGTGATTCATAAAATAAAAACGATAACATATTTACACTTTTTCAATGTAGTTTATTAAAGCAGTCTAAAGATAAATTTGGTTTTTTTTTCACGCGTATCGTTAAAACATTTACGTTACGTTTATTTTTATGTTTTTACTTCCTGTGTTAATGTATTGGCCAAATTTTAGGAAAAGATTGGAAAGAATAGTCGCGTCATCTTTTCATGCCATCTTTTGTTTATGCTCCATATGTTCGCGCTCAACGAACTGCGCCGGCCGAACGGAAAGCACACCGAAATTAGTTCTATAGCCAACGTGTTAAACTGTAGATTCCATATACCTGTGTATAATCATCGTGCGCACCACAGGTATGTGAGAGAGAGAGAGAGAGAGAAATCACCACGCTCGGACACGAGCAATAGGACTGAGAAGGAGGAGGAATTTAGATCGGAGATAACTGTAGAAATAGATATTATTTGATAAACTATTTATGAGATGAATGGAACGAGATGTGAGCAAATAAATCTGTTTAATAATGCCGAACCTGGAAATCGGGTCGTTGTTCTCTCACTTCTTCGAAGCAACGTTTCACGTATTCGAAGCTTGATAATGACGATGTTGCATAGACGAGTAGGAATGCGTGGGCGGTGGCTATGCTTAACCGCCTCATTGCGGGAAACTGCAGGTCACCTGGAAAAATAAAAACGAAGGATACTTGATTTAATATATGACCCATACCCATGATTAAATATCTTCTTACATATTTGGAAAAATCGCGTCTTGTTTACAAAACGAAGAAAATTTTCTCAGAAATTGCTATCTAAAATAATTCTTCTTATTTATGATTGGCTTTCGTTTCTTTGCGAAGGATATGTTGAAATTTGTGAATATTTAAATCATATTTTTATAACGAATTTCAACAATCCTTCGCAAAAAAAAAACGAAATCGGGTCGTAAATAAAAAGTTACTTCAGATAGCAACGTCGTTCGTAAAAATATGATATATTATGCTATTATTCTTGATAAATTTTGACTGTATATATATATATATATATAGTGTGTTCTTATACTAAAGTCATAAAAGAGATCCTTGTGATCTCGATTAGATCAAGGATACATGAAACGTTTATATGTATAACCATATTGAACACTATTGAGTTACGTTTATTTCATACACGATTCCGGAGAGATCAAAACTTCCTTCGTTTTCAATCAAAACATTCAGTATTTCGTTTCACCATCGAGAATATGTGCACGTAGCATCACATAGCGCTTAACATTTTTCGCCATATTGTATAGCAAATTCAATGAGGAGAGGAACATTAGACAGGAAATGATAGCTTTTAGAAAATATAGAGTTAAAGTTTAATTTATCAGGAAGACTTGTTATTTCTCTTTAAATTTGATAAAGAAAAATGTTGTTAAATTTTATAAGATCATCCACGGATATACAAAATTTTAAAATACGACGCTAATGATATCGTTATATTAAGATTTACATCATAAATATGTAATACTAATTAATTAAAATTATCTCAATTAACTTGAATAATTAAATCGCTGCATGAGTGAAACATCGTGTTGAAGACACGATCCTCAAAAAATACGCTTCAGTTTCTTCAAAATATAATAATCAAATTATAACTGAAAATATATTTGTAGTTTGTAATTTTCTCCATCTTCAAATTTTCTAAAGTGTTTAGAATCTTTAGATTTTCTAGACGAAAATGATCCAAAAAGAAAAAAATATTAGTAAATTTTTTACTTACGTTTTCCATTTTTTCAAAATTTAAATTTATTTTTAAAAAATCAACAATTTTGAAAAATTTATGAATATTTTTTTTTTTTGGTAGAGGATCATCTTCATCTAGAAAATTTAAAGATTCTAGACATTCTAGAAAATTTGAAGATGGAGGAAATTACAAACGACTTTACAATGACTTAATAATGCAATGATTTAATAATGCAATGACTTAATAATAAAAAGAAAATGAATCAGAGAGAATATATCCTACCCGCGGTATCCAGAAGATCGACCTTAAGCGTCAAAGTGCCGAGGACGCATTCTCGCGAGTAGAGGTCCTCCACGGTGGGCCGGTATCGTTCGCTGAAGCCCTGACCGAGGAGTCGACGTATAATGGCGCTCTTGCCGACCTCGGCATCGCCGAGCACCACCAGCCTGATTCTTTCGAGATCGGCCATGTTCCCCTTGGTCGATCCTTGGTGACCTCGAGCACGACCGCGAGAATTTCGCCGCCTCAGGAAGGCATCACCCGGGAGGAGGTCGATCGGAGTCCCGTCCACCTCCTGGAAATCCAATACGGTCGTCTTACGGTCGCCCCGGCACCCCGCGCCCCCGTCGAGGCGATCTCCCTTCGTCCCTTCGAAGGATACTAATTCGATTCCCCACGGCGATTCCTGACCGCGGTCAGGAACGTGTCGGCGGCGGTGGTGGTTCCTCGAGATCGATCAGCCGCGATCGACAACTCGCTTCGACGAAACTTTCGCGTTTTTCCATCCAACGACGACGTCTCCGCGCACCACCGACTTCCCCCGCATTCACTTACCCCGCTTACGTTGCGCTCTCGCGGGAGCATCCATGTTCCTCCGGGAAATCGCGGCCATTCGTCCGCTACGCGATTCGGGTTAAAACTCCTGTTGAAAGATCCGAAAAACGAAAACATTGTTACTTATTTACAGAGGCTGAATGCCGTGAGATTTCATCGGCGAGATTAAATTATGAAAAAAGAGGAAACTCGCTGTAACGCTATTCGCGACTGCCAAGCGGCCTGGAAATTGGAGCAAATAATGTTATTCTGGACATTTCGAAGACCAATCGAAAGATTCTGTTTAGAACAGCGATTTTTATCGAGGCTTTCATGCTTTATGTTAAGAAATCCGATATATCGGTTATAAATATCGAAGCAGAAACTCTTAGTGGTTTTTTTAGGTCAGTAAGCAAACGAAACATATTACAATAATTAAAGTATTTTTTTTTTCTCAGAATTGAAAATATCAGTAACGTTAAGAGAAAAGAATTATGATAGATAGCATAATGAACTTTCTTTATTATTTTGAAATTAATTATATTTGTCTTTAAAGATAATATTATTTTGTTCAGATCAATATTAAATTTTAGACTTATCAATAATTAAATACGAGTATCATTTTAAAAAAAATGGAGTATATTATTTAAAAATATTTGTGAAATAATTCTTAGCAAAGAGTTTTGAAACTAACAATATTATAATAACTAACTAACTAAACAATATCTAATAATATCTAATAATATCAATATCTAATAATAAAGAGAATTATATTTCAATATTTAATTTGTATACTGTAAATATTTTATCTAATTATAAATTTTTTTATTATAACGAAGTTATCACAAATGTAAGCTTGATTAAAATTAAATATTAAAAGATGAAACTGTTTTTGAAAATTAACATGGATGGATTTTTGCTCATTTGGAAGAAATGTGCACAGGTGTCCGCAGCGCGATGACATTTTTTGCACTTCTTTTGCGACAAATGTACTTTTGGGAAATGAATGCGTAATGCTCCATGAAAAGTACCATAGTAATAAAACGAAACTCATTGCCTACGTGTATCTCATATGTATTAAATTTCAAGTTCGAGAATATTTTTCCATTGCTGTCAATGGACAATGGACAAATCCCTTTGGATTTGTATTATCATGTTATCATTATTGTTTTCTCATTTTTTTTTACTTTATTAGTTAATATCAAAGAATGCGCGCATGACGTAAATGTCAATTAACAAAAACGTTTTAATATAAGTAGTAATATGAATAATTTATATAAATCCAGTATTTAAATGAAATTTATTGAAATTTATTGAAATTTTCACGTAGTGAAAATTTCAATAAACAATGATATTATAATTTTCAATTTACGCAAGTCATATTAGTTGATAAAGAGTTCTTGATAAAAAGTCATATAGATATTAAAGGGATATGTATATATAATAATTAATTTACATATATTAATTAATTAATAACATGGATAATGAAAAATATACAAATGCGGGAATTTATATTCAATGGAAATTTATGTGGATTTGCGTCCAACTAATCATTAAATTTTATATCTAAATAGTTATTAAAAGATACTTAATCAAATCAATTATAATTAAATAATTCAAAAATGCGTGATTTACATTTAAATATATTAATATTATTTATCATATTTATATATGATGAATTGTGTGTTTTCAATTCTTATCAGAAGCAAATTTATATTGCACATTACATTTGAACATATCATGTTTAATTTGAAAAATATCATTTTTTTCATAAATTAATTGCATTTAAAAAGATTATCTTTTAATTGAACAGAGAGAGAGAGAGAGAGAGAGAGAGACACACACACACACACACACACACACACACACACACACACACACACACACACACACACACACAAT